CAAACACTTCCTGTTGCTTCTGACCCCCGACCCTGGACTCTACCTGTGAGTGTCTCGCTGAGGGACAGCGCTCGCCGCGAGTACTCCTCGCCACTGCTGCTGCTCGACATAGCAGACATCCTCTCCCCCCTCTCCCCCCCTGTCAGTCCCACTGACATCTGGGTAAGAAACGCCGGTTTGGTCACCATGGTGTTCCTGTCGTCTGCATTTCCCTGCGACCCCACCGAGCCGTCTGAGGGTGTGGCGTCAGCCTGCTGCTGCTGCTGTGGCTGCCGCGGTGATGTGGTGGTCATGTGATAGACGGGATTCTGGAAGGAGAGGGGGAGGAGCCCCGTCCTGCGCTGCCACTGACCATCTTCGAGGCCGTCGCCAGGGGAGGTGTCATGCAGGTCCACCAGAGACAAGCTGCGGCTCTCGTTGTTCAGCTCGGACCCCTCTCTCCGACCTCCATTGGTCATTTCAAACGGGGCCTCATTCTCATTGGACTCTGAGTAGGAGGAGCTTGGTGCTGGAGAACCCTGCATGCCTGGAGAAAGTGACATCACAGGAAGAGTCAGGGGTGACAGCGTGGTGGAGAAATGGGAACGTGGATAAAGAAGAGAGGCGAAAAGTCACCTGACGCAGGCTGTAGGCTCGACCCTTTAGTGACGAAAAACAAGTCTTTGTTCTCAGGAGTCGGCGAGGGGAGTCTGGTGAAGTCCACCAATCTACACACACACACACACACACACACACACACAGATAACACGTCAGATATTTAAGCCATGCATCAGCCAGACTCTTCCTGCGCTGGCATGCACAGACAGCTGTGAGCATGTGCAGAAGCTCCATGTGAGAGCCGTCTCTGTTCACCACTGGGGATGCTAATGCTAACAGGAAACACAGGATGCTAACCCTCCATCAAGTCCCATGCCGCCCTGCAGGCCAACAGAGGGATTACAGGTCGCCAGAGGTGGAGAAAGGGGCGGAGACAGGGGGGCTGGGGAGAGAGGGGGCGGAGACACTACACGTTGAGGCTCTGGGGAAGAAACAGATACGCCCCCTGCACTGGCCACACCCCCTGGATTGGCAAGCGCTGCCGATACGTCTCTGAGGATTCGAGGAAGAGGGCCGAGCTTCGACAGGCACGACTGGAGAAAACAGAGAGAGAGAGAGCAGTCAGGGAGTTACCTGGGCAGGCAGGTGAGTC